CCCTTTGGACGGGCTACCAATCACGCCCTAACTGAATGACAATGACTTTGTGCGTAACGTGAATTAGGAGAAACTACTTTTTTTTTCCAGCTCCTAGCTCCTACTTCATTTTTTAAGACTCCTACTTCATATGAGAATATCAATTCACATAGTCAAAGAAGAATCACTTGTCAGTATGAAACTATTAGGTGGCCTTCATGGGATTCACATAATCAAAGTAGAATCACTTGTCAGTATGAAACTATTAGGTGGCTTTCATGGGATTGGATTTTCCCCTCAAAACAAGAACCCTAGTGAGCGTTGGGCAACCCTACCTTTTCTTTTTCTGTTACCCAGTTTGCGCCCTCACTTCATCTCTTTAAGCGACGCCTACGCCAGGGGCCTAGGTCTTCTTCGGGCCCAGGTCGCGCCGCCCTACGCCAGGTGCCCTTTGCCGACGACGAGCACCACCAAGGTACGCCCTCCTCTTGGTCTTCCCTTCCTTCCGCGAGAAACCTGAGCATCCAAACCCTAACTTACAATTTGAGTTCTGATCTAATCTAATTACAATTTTTTAGGAGAATCTAATCTAATTACAGATGTATATGTATGCAAGTATTATCAAGCTTCAAGCGGTGGCGGATCCAGTGGGCTGCACGGGCATGGCCGGGCATACCCTAGGCCCAACCCAACAATGATAAAAGCATTATGTAAAAAAGTTTTTTTTAATCCAGGCCATTACAACTCTGCCTGCTCGTCGCTCGCTCTCGGCGGACGCCGCCCCCCAAGCGCGCAGCCTCGCTCCGGCGCTCCCCTACCGGCCTGCCCCCGGCGCTCCCCGGCGGCTCGGCGGCCCCAGCCGGCCAACCCCCGCCCCCAGACCCGGCCGCCCCGTACCCGTCCCCGTCCCCGTCGTCCCGGGCGGCGCCCCTGCTCCCAGCCCGACCGCCCCTTCCCCCTTCCCCGGTATCCCGGCCGACCGTGGCCGCCCTAGCCTGGATCCGCCCCTGCTGGTGAAGTGGTGAGCAGCTATGCAGCTTGTTCCATGTTCCCCTCTGGCTCTCCCCTCCGTTCTCTTCCTCTTAGCAAGTTTTTCCCAACTCCCTAACCCTAACTTTTTTTTTTGTATATGTGATCTAATTTGTTAGCTTGAAAGGATGGAATATATCCAAAGACTTAGCCTTAGATAGGAGTGCTTGGAAAACAGCTATTCACGTGCCTGAACCTTGATTGCTTCTGCTGGGTTTCAACTCTAGCCTACCCCAACTTGTTTGGGACTTAAAGGCTTTGTTGTTGTTGTTGATGATGATCTAATTTGTTAGCTAGTTGTTGTTAGATTTTTCCTTCATTTAGTTCAATTGATGTAGCTTGTACATGTATGCAGTAGGGATTAGGATGTATTGGTCGATTACTTAATACTTATGCATTATGTGATTTTGCGATTTGGTTGTAGGATTTGTAATTCTATATGGTATTTAAGCTTCTATCTTACATATTTCAAGCTATTAGGATGCTGTTTGAACATTGTAATTTAAGACTTAGTATGCTATTTGGTGTTTGTATACCGAATTATGGGACAATTTTATGGTACTTTACTGAATTGCTAAATGGTTTTTACTGGTTTGGATGTGAAAATTTTGATTCGCCATACCCCATGAAAAATCCTGGATCTGCCACTGGTATTATGCCTACTAACTTCGATTGTTTTGCAATAATTATCGGATGTACATGTGTAGACCCATGTCCTTACTGGATCCGCCCCACTGTTGGAAGGAATGGTAAGGTGGAGCATTCATGAAGTGGGTATGACATGTGAGCAATGTTCAAAACGAAGAAGAAAAATGATTGGGTATTACACGGGAATTGTATCATTATGTGCTAATCGGGTGGTGGGGGCGTTCCTAGTTCCTAGCTTGCATAGGCGCCGTACTGCCTAGCGCCCAGGGCACCGAAGCGTAAGCTAAGCATGATTAATCGTTTGTGCTTACTTTTTTCTTTTTTTGTTTGTTGAAGCAAGATCAGGCAGTACCAGCACAAATAAGGGTCAAAATGATGGGTTCTAAAGACATAAACAAGACTTCCAAAACAAAGAAAAGCAACTCTTATAGAAATGATACACTGTATGATAGCTTATCCTTCATTAGAAGGCCAAAAGCAACTAAATCACAAATAAAATAAGCTCAAGGAAACTAGAGAGAGTGGCATGTCCTGCATTACCGGCGTACTCATACACAAACTGCCTGCTTGTGTAATCCCCATCCTTTGTGTAGGTGGAGCATTGCATGCAGCCACACCACATCCGCTGGTTCTTATACGAGTGTGCACACGCGCAGCTGTCGCTGCCCTCCATGAGGCTCTCTATCCTGCCTCTGAGCCTGAGCCCAAGCCTAGCAATGATGTGAGGAGCAAGGGGGTGGCAAGGAGGCGCACACTTTTTTTTTCCTCTCGAACACGCAGGAGAGCTGCGTGTCGTTTCATTGAAGGAGAGCACACTTGATGAGGAGCTCACGTTCCCCTCGCAGCCAGCGACGATGCTAGAAGAGCTCTGGCACGAGGAGGCTGGGTTCCTTCTGGTAACCCTAGCAGCCAACCCCTTATCTACCCTCCTGGGTTCTCGCTTTGTTTTGTGCTTCTGCCCTTGTGCTTGCTCCCGCACTTTGTTTTCTCCACACTCATGCCTCCTCGCTCGCTCTAGCACTCTGTTTTTTGCGCTTTCCTGCCCACACGCTTGCTCCTGTACGCCTGCCTGCACTTGCTAACGTTCAATTAGCCACACGGAGCCTAAACAACGTGGCGGGGTTCCAATTGCCACTTAATCGAGCCTAGGCATACGTTTAGTAACAATTTTTGGAACACTGCCTGTTGTGGCAGAGGAAAGAGCCTCGGTCGAAGAGGATTGTTTTAGCACGGGTATAGGTGGAAGGGCCTGTAACAGGGATGAGTATGAAGCGGTGCCGTGGGGAAGCAGGGGATAGTGTGGGGGAACTGGGGATTAACTTCTGTGGATGGTAGCACTTGACATGTTGATATGGCCTACCATGGATGATTGGTCGGGAACAGCATCAGGATAGGGGGTTGCATTTTTCGCTAGGGCATGGGGATGATGTGAGTGGAGGTGCTTGATGGGCTGTTTTATTTGGGATTGAGCTTTAGTTGGCTGATTGCCTGACTGTTGTAATGGCTCATTTATACTCCTATTTTCCCTTTCTGGCTGATATTTATGTCTGTGTTTTTAAAATACAAATTTAATTTAGTTGTGTAGGGCGCCACCTCCCTTTGTGCCATAAGTACCTAGGTGGTATGAAGTGGATGGTCTCCTTACCATACCTTGCCGCCTTAATAACTTCCTCAATCCTCTTCATACCTTATCCCTCCATAATTTCCCACGCCATCCCTAAGCTCCCTACCCAGCCCCTGAATACCCTCCCTCGTGACCCTGTTCCTCTTATCCATACGTGATCTTCTAGCCCTACCTCCTGTCTTCGCTGATTAGAGATCTGTTACAGGCATATGCTTTACTAAACTTACCAGATCTGAGATATTTTTGCCATACATAGTTTAATTTTGCATCTAGGATCAGTTCATGTCTAAGCAATGTCCACTTTTTGTGTCAGGTCTGTTGCTACTTCTCTGGTGATGCCCGGAATTGGGAACAAAACTGAAAGATAGGAGGAACATATATCAGTTTGAGTGTAAATAGAGGTTTGCCCTGCTTGTTAATTCCCTCGTTTGTCGTGTACTCGTGTACAGCTGTGTCTGTATAGTTATTTTTTTAATGATGACTGAACCTGGACGGTTCGAGTTGAGATGTCTGATTGTGACCTATATGTGCCAAATGACTCATTTTGACAGTTCCTGCATTTCTTTAGCCATAACTGGTATGAAACTCCCATCTTTGTTCAGTCTTGCTAGCCTTCAATGCCGATCCATTGCCTGGTCTTAAGTACATTGTGCAACATAACATTGTTTTACCATACTGCATACACTAAAACTAGTTATTCAAGTTATTAGCAGGACTGAATTTTGTTGCGGGGATGGATCTGTTTATTATGTACCCTGGCTTCTTGATTGTCTATATAATAGGATCATTTTGAATTTTCAGCAAAGCTCTTGAAAGATTAAAGCCTGTCAGCCTGTGGATAGAATTATAGTCTTATCGTTTGTGTTTCTTTATTATTTCAGAAAATAGGTATAACAGTGAAAACTGTGTAGAATTAGGTTACATGACAGAAACCTTTTAGCATACCTTTTACCAATATTGGTATACTGTGATTTGTTTTTTCTAGACCAAGTAGTAAATTACCCACCTTTAATCTTAATTATTTATATGTCTGTCCATCATCCAGGAACTTCCTTATGTTTGAGGATTAGCTTATTGAGCAACATACAGCAACAGATAGGTATAACTCGTGGCATATGAGTTCCTTAGCATGGGTCTGATTGGTTGCCTACACAATCCTTTATCCAGGGCCCCGTAGTGCAATTTGCCCTTGTTTGGTTACATGCAGAAGCTCATATGCAGGCTAGCAGTCTAGCACTGTACTCAAAGCAAGCCCAGCCTGCATCCCATAATTCAGCCAAATCCTGTGTATCCAGCTATGCACCCTCCCTCCATGACCCGCTCTGCAGCCCAAGACTCAGGTCTGACCACTTATGCAAGAAACCAATCACATGCATAACACTTACAATTTCCTATTGAGACTAACCAAACAACAACTAATTGCATAGCCTTATGCAGGTTAAGGATATTTTGCATGACCCCCTAATACAATGCAATACTAACGCAAGGAACCAATCAGACCCTATGAGTTTACTTTCTTATTCGTGTTTGATTTATTTGAATTCTGAACAGCTGTTGCATGGTGCCACATGTGCTGTAACAGATGACTCCAAAATGGAGTGCACGCACTTCAAATAGCTACAGAGAACTATCTTCACATGAAAATGGACAGTGCAAATCAACCTTAACAGAGTCAGTCCCTTCACCTACAAGCTGTTTTGGTTTACACACTGCGAACACAATGTGCTCCCTATCTTCACAAAAGAAGGATGGCAATGTTTATAAAAGAAGGAAGATTGATAAGGATTCAAATTCTCCTATAGCATTTGAAGAGGCTAAAGAAATGGCAGCCCAAAGTTGCACAATTTCTGATGATCACTCGTCATTACTGCTACCCATTATCTCTTCAGAGGCATTGCTTTTAAATTCAACAGCACGCATGGCTGGTCCTATCCTAGATTGTGAGGAGCCTGCTGATGTTTCATTGGAGCCAAATTCTGGTACGAATGATAGATGCTTCGTTTCAAGTATGTCTCCATCTTCCATGACTCTAGACAAAAAGAATGCTGCTGAATGTTCCTCATCGAATATCGGCCCTACAGAATCAATTACTGAGCATGTTTCACCAAGGGATCTTTGCATTGCCATACTGATAAAAGATGGACTTATAAATGAATCAAGAACAAGAATGTCACATAAAGAGGAATTCAGTCACAATGATGCTAACCCTTTGTTGGCATGCAATAATTGTGGCTGCTTGGAGCATTCATCGAAGATGCTGATATGTGATTCTTGTGAAGCAGCATTTCATTTGCCTTGCTGCATCCCTTGTATTAAAGAGCTGCCTACTGATGAATGGTATTGCGCTCCATGCTTGTGTAAGAAACCCAAGAGTCTTTATGGCAAACTCTCAGAGGGCAAGATCAAGCCTTCCAGGAATACTAACACAAGGCCTCATGGGATGAGTCACATAGAGTACATGCTGAAGGACGCTGAACCATATGTTACTGGGGTTCGAATTGGTAGAGATTTTCAGGCAGAGGTGCCAGAATGGTCTGGTCCATCATCCAGGTGTGGTTATTTATGCAAGACATTAACCTTTGCATTAATTATGGAATTGGGTCATGTAAATTTGGGTGTGTCAAAATTCAGTTTCTGAAGATTGCTAGTTTCCTGGAGACTATTTGTTTGTTTTTAATTTTTTAATTATCATGACCACTATGATCTACTCCATCTGTTCCAGAATTTAAGTTGTTTTTTCCCCTTAAGTCAAAACTATGCATTACTAGAAAATTAAGCAAATTGACAACCAAACTAACTAATAAGTAAGGGGTAAGTTAGTCTTTTGCCAGACTGCTTATTTGGTTCTAAAATTGCTTGGATACCTTGTATTTCAGAACGGAGTATTTGTTTAATTTTTTTTGCTGTAGTTATCTATTCTATCTGATAGCTACTTGTACCATTCTCTCAAAAGGAACAATGTTACTTTCTATTTAGAAGATATGATGAGCGTATTAATATTGGAACTTTATCTGCTACCTTTTTTCAATGCCATTTCTGTCTTTGCATATTTTCAAAGTACGTGCCATTTCTGACCTACAGTATTGGATGCTTTTTCATCACTGATCGGTTAAATCATTTAAAACATAACTAAATATAATTAGTGGTATAAAACGACAGATTTAAGGGGTGTACTTTTTTTTCCTGATAATAAATATAATTGGAAAATGTAAAAATGAACTGAAACAGTTATACAACATTAGAGCGTGTATCCAAGCAATGGGTGCTAAGGATAATCAATGGGAGAGAAATGAATTAGCACCGGTACTGAGTTCATGGCATTGATGCTAACGTTTGCACCAGTCCTGACTTCAGTTTAGTTAAAAATTAAGGGGAAGTATTGGGTGCAAATAGTATTTTAGTGTGCAGACTTACTCTCACTTGTTGCATCCAATGTGAATAGACCAGGGACAAGGGATTCTTATCTCCCAGACTCCCACTTGAGCCATTTATTAGATTGAATCCAAGGGGTGAGATTGAGTCTCTGCATATGTGCACCAATATACTCTTGTGCACCCGGTACTTCCTCAAAAAATAAATATTTTAATTCATCCTAGTGCCTATAAGAGGCTGCTAAGGGATAACGTGGTTGCTGCTAAGGGAGTAAAATACTACTCCCTCCTTTCCAAATTATAAGACGTTTTGGCTTTTCTAGATACATTGCTTTTTTCTACGTATCTAGACATGGTGTATATCTAAATGCACAACAAAAGCTATGTATCTAGAAAAGCCAAAACGTCTTATAATTTGGAATGGAGGGAGTAGATAACTACCGTTAGTACCTAAATTAAGGGACAGGTGTACATGCTCTTAGGTGAGTAGGGCTAAGCAACAACCATACATTTGCATGGACAGTTATGACGTGCTAGTTTGACTGATGGTGAAATCAGTTGGTTCTGGTGTTTGCCAAACTTATGATATAGCTTACCGAACTAGCATCTATACAATTTTTTTAGCATTGATTTAGGATGCACCTTGACAGGCATAAGATCTTTTTTTCTTTCTTTTCAAACATTGATTACCTGTCCTTAGATTCAAAAACCAATTCCTTAATGGTGCAGCCTTCAGTGTATGAGCTTCACATATATGGTTTATGTATGCCACTCTACTAGTCTACTTAAGATGAAATTTCTTACTGGTTGGAGTTTCAATGTTTCTTCTTATTGGTAAATATTTCAGTCCATGTAATGAAGGGCGGGCCTGATGCAAGCGGTAGAGTCTTACCGCCTGTGACCGGAAGGTCCCGGGTTCGAGTGGCGGTCTCCTCGCATTGCACAGGCGAGGGTAAGGCTTGCCACTAACACCCTTCCCCAGACCCCGCACAGAGCGGGAGCTCTCTGCACTGGGTACGCCCTTTATTTCAGTCCATGTAATTTGTGATAAGTTATCATGTGGTATGTTAATTTTGTTGTTTCATACTGTCATTGTCTCTGGACCCTTTCATTAATTTGCAATGCTCATGTTTATATATTCTGTAATTATTTCTGCAGCAGTGATGGTTACTTTGACGAGCCCTGTGAATTTGGTTCTGCAGAACTAACTACATTTAATGTAAGATTTTACCATTAAATTACTAGTGTTCCCCATAAGATGTCTCTTAAGCTTCTTTTGTACTTGCGTAGTTGTGCAAAATGAGTAATCAAAATCATTCTTCCATTGGTAATTGGATCCAATGCCGTGAGACCTTGAATCCAGGAGACTCGGACAAGCAAGTTATCTGTGGAAAATGGAGAAGGTACATAAATTCTGTTTTATGAGTTCCTAGATATATATTTGTCTTGGTTAGTATTTATTTATTTTCGGGCCTGGTGCAAGCGGTAGAGTCTTACTGCCTGTGACCGGAAGGTCCCGGATTCGAGTCGCGGTCTTCTCGCATTGCACAGGCGAGGGTAAGGCTTGCCACTGACACCCTTCCCTAGACCCCGCACAGAGCGGGAGTCTCTGCACTGGGTACGCCCTTTTAAAAAGAATGTAACAACTCAAACCTAAGATAATTTTAATTCAGAATTCCCAGTTCAGCAGCATTTTTTCCGTGGGTTATGCCTAAAGGTGCTAATGGTCTGTGAACCGAACCGTAACTGTCCCAAACCAATCACGTTTGTCCTCAATACCCACTCCACACCGTCGCATTTATTCTCCCACCAAAATCAATCCACACCAAACTGCATGCATTATTAAATCCAAGCCAACCGAATCCAGGACCTCAAACCATAATTTCAAATCAGTTTAAGAGTGTAGCAGAACAAACCACGGGCCTTTCTGAACGCGACCAGCGGCATGGCGAGCGACCCCATCTTGCCGGTGGAGCTGGACACCATCCTGAACCCCGAGTTCCGCAACATCAACAGCAAACGACCTGGGCACGGATGTCAACAGGCGCATCTCACATCGGTCCTAATGGCTGGCTACTACGACAAAGACGGTACCGGCACCTTCCGAGAGCTGAGGCTAGGCACAACAGCCACATGCAAGCCCATGCAGGGACGGCCAGTCCAAACAGCTGGCCATGAAGCTAGCTCCTGCGTAGTGGCGAAGCCCTGGACTCCCCTGCTCTCAGGTGGCGACGTCAAGCCTCGCGGCGGCGGCGACTCCGGAGGAAGGCATCAAAACTGGCCAGACCCAACCAAACCGGATCGATCCACTTTGTCTTACTCCAGACCAAACTGTACCACTAGGCTTCTGAGCCCATTTTCCACCAAACCAGATTGACCCAAAATAAAAACCAAACCATGAAATCCGGGTTTGGCCCAAACCATTAGCAGGTTTAGTTATGACTCAATGAATGTTGGGAGCTTTATAATTTGTCCTTTCCCATCATACTACAATGTGGCTAGCGGTGATTTCATCTGGGAAATTGGTAGAAGCTGGTCAAAACATGGTTAGCTAGTCGAACTTGGTCCATTTATGGCCATACATGGTATAAAAATAAAATGTTTATGAAACATATTAATTTTTTGTGGGCAATTGCTAATTTGCTACTGCTTTGAACTGTGATTGCAAAACATCGCACAAGAGAATTGCAAAATGCCACTAGAACTGTCATTCGAGTTAACTTGACCACTTTTAAAATATATGAAATTTAGCATAAATGTTGTATAGTACAGTTTACCAGATCATATTGGTTGTGGAACTAGATGCAACTAAAAATTAAGGGCCTGTTTGGTAGAGCTCCATCTGATTCTGATTCTCTATGGAAGCTGATTCTGTGAATGAAAGTGATTCTCTTTGATTCTGTAGCATAAACTCTCGAAATTACGATGGAGAATCACTTCACAGAATCAGGAGAAGCTACTTTTTTCAGCGCCCAGCCTCTTAGTTTATTTAAGAGAATCACTTCACAGAATCAGCAGAGAATCACTTCTCTCTGAAAAACTGTTTGCCAGAGCTCCTGCTGGATTTAACAGAGAATCAGCTCCGGGAACTCTGCCAAACAGGGCCTAAGTGATGCTCTTGCCTTTCTGTGGAGCATCCCTTTTTATTTTTTTTGCTATGTTTCTTCTTTCTTCGCTCTGGTAGAGGTCTTCTTTCTTCGCTCTGGCAGAGGTAGTTTATTCTTTCAGTTTCCTCTTAGTTCGACTGAAAAATGTGGAGGTTTGACGCCAGCATAAGTTAGCTTTTCCTTGACCATATCTTATGCATTTATGAAGGTACACTGTAAATATTTTGTTCTTGTGGAATATCCTGCAGGGCGCCCCTATATGTTGTACAGTCAGATGATTGGGATTGTTTTTGTTGTCTTCTTTGGGATCCAGCCCATGCTGATTGTGCTGTTCCACAGGTAATGTTTTACTTATTTTGTTACAGTAATTACTTAAATGTGTGAAGCATCTGCCTCGTTTAAAGGCCTGTTTGGTTCATGCCCAAACTTGCCACGCCGAACTTTCGGCATGCCATAGAAAGTGTGGCGGGCAAACACGAAGCCACACTTGTGGCAAGTTTTGGCAAGAAATTGAGTCTATGATGTGTGGGACAGGGTGCTAAGAAAGTGTGGCATGCCATAGTTACAGCAGTGAATCAAACACATGCCTAAGAAACTGTGGCACGCCTGACTTGCGGCATGGCAAGTTTGGGCATGAACCAATACATGTGCAGGGTGGTATAGACGTATAGTACCCTAATTTGAGCTATGCAGTTGATGATTTGATACTTGTTTCTTATTACCCTAACTTGCATGGCAAATTTATGGAAGTTTCAAATTTTAATTATTTTGTTTCTTATTATATCCAACTATCCGATGACTATCTTGGTAAACAAAGAAAGGGGTGGTATACTACCCTAATTTGAGCATTCCATTTGATGATTTGATACTTGTTTCTTGTTACCCTAACTTGCATAGCATAATGTTTTTATGACAGTTTCAAATTTTAATTATTTTGTTTCTTATTATAGCCAACTATCCGATGACTATCTTGGTAAAGAAAGAGATCTGTTATTTTACAGCAATGTTTAGTTGCTCTTGCTCCAATTGTTACAAAATCACTTTTGAACTGTAGTTTTCTTTGCCAATTCTACACTTGTGTTACTCTAAAGATCTGTCATGATAAGATGCGTAAAGATTGAATGCCTGGTATTGAACTGTCTTGAGAAGACCAACTCTGAATTCCTAGCTTGTATACAATTGCCAGGTTTAGATATTGCATACTATTTGTCCAGCCCATCTGGGTACAATGCTTGCGTAATTGTAAAGCTAAATATTAAAAAGTCACTATTTCTCTAAACAAAGGTGCTCTAGCAGCTAGAGCTGGCTTATTCCTAACATGGCCCTCAATATGTTGGACAATGAAGAGCAGTAAGAAACTACAGCTAGAACTGATTTTGTTGCCACTTAATAAGTATTTAACCATGGCTCGAGGATTTTCTTGAATAATGGCTCTATTTGACATATTTTGTGATTATCTGAATGAGTATCCGTGCATGATTTTACCCACAACGTGCATTCTTTCGGTCAGTGGAACTATGCTATTTTCCCCCTTTAGATCTTTGATATTGCCATTCTTTCTCTGTTTGGGATGAAATGGAACCAATAAGAGGTCAAGAGGGCTGTATGTATTGAGGATTCTGCTTCAACCAATACATTGAGGTTTTGTTTTTCTTTGAATATACCATAAAAATGATTGATATTTGATAGTCTGCCCTAGTGGTTATCGTTGTCTAGCAAGCACTTCAGAATCATGTTTGTATCTTACCCCCCTATCGGTATACAAAACCTCTGGATGGTCTTTTTTATGTTCATGTTCATAATGTGATACATAAGGGTGGGCATAAAAAACCGAGACGAGACTGAAGTACCCGAAATTTTGGTCTTTGGGTATGGGTATCTGTTTGGGTGCAGATGGTGGAACACCGAATTTACTTTAAGTTAGTTCGGTCATATACCTTCGGTAACCGAACAGACCAGAGTCTAATCCTTCCCCTTTATTCTCTTAATTAACTTCTCTTCCCATCCACACGTGATGCATCCTTATTCAGTTAGCCTTCATGTACATTCTCTCCTGTCCGTGTCTGTTCCTCTCTCATTTGCATGGGTGCGCTGCCACAGGCCACTCCACCATCCTGGCCATGGCACCGGCCTCTCTCGATTAATCGCTTTGTCACATCATTCACTCTCTGCAGACTTCCAAAGTAGATGCAGACTGACCCATGTGTCCTCGAATAAGATGGTGGCTAGCCCTCGACAGTGCCCTCATGGAGCACGAGACACACGTTAAGGAGAACCATGAGAAGTGCCCTCATGGAGTAAAACCAGCGTGCGGCCATGAGCTGCTGCTCACAGCCTTGCTTGACGCCTCCTGCACACTGCGACAGCGGTGCGCAGGGAGCTCGAAACTCCACGCGGTGGTTCCGCTGGATGGCATCTCCACTCCAGCATAGCGTCGTGGCATCCTATCTCGGCAACTCCGGCCCAAGCTCCTCCGAGCTCCCCATGTCCTTGTGAGCATTGGTAGCTCGGGTTCATCGGGCACCCGAGCCAAAAAAGTGATACATTTCCGGGTGCCAATTCTTAAAAACCCAAATTAAAAAAAAGGCGTACCCGGTGCAGAGATCTCCCACTCTGTGCGGGGTCTGGGGAAGGGTGTCAGTGGCAAGCCTTACCCTCGCCTGTGCAATGCGAGGAGAGCATGACTCGAACCCGGGGCCTTCCGTTCACAGGCGGTAAGACTCTACCGCTTGCACCAGGCCCGCCCTTCTTAGAAACCCAAATTAAAAAAGGACCAAAAAAAAGCCAACCCGAAATTTGGGTTAAAGACAGAATGCCCACCCCTAGTTCCACAGCATGGCATCTCCACTCCAACAAAGCGCCATGGCATCCTGTCTCGGCAACTCTGGACCAAGCTCCTCTGAGCTTCCCATGTCCGAGTGCGCATTGGTAGCTCAGGTACATCGGGCACCCGAACTGAAAAATCAGTTACTTGAATTATCGGGTAGGCAATTTTGTGATAGCTTTTTGGGTGTCAATTATTAAAAACCGAAATTAAAAATACTGAAAAACCAACCTGAAGTTTGGGGCAAGACAGAATGCCCAACAGTACACAAGATACTGCTGACATTTTCATCAATTATCTTGGTTTTTTGAATTTTGTATTCCATTGTAGGAGTTGAAGACTAGTGAAGTACTGAAGCAGCTGAAGTTTGTAAACATGGTATGTTCCAATCCTACAAACTATTCCATTTTTATTTAGAAGTATTTTGTTACTGGTTCTAGAATAAAAAAAATGCAGTATTGACCTTTTCTTGCATGGTTGAGAAATCTATGAAATTTGGTAAGAGGCAAGGGATGAATGCCATGAATCTGTTACATTTGGACATGGGCTAGCCTGTTTGTTTCAACTGTCTACATAGTAATCTGTAGGGGGCTTGATCCTTACAACATAGTAGTCATGGATATCTGAGCACACTTAGGGCGTTGGTAGGCTGGATGGGAGCGGGGCCAGGCTCACGGGCTGCACGAGCTGGTGTTTGGTAGGCTGAACAGGGTTGCGGGCCAGGCTGGCACACTCCTTAAAGCAGCAAAGATGCTGCATGTGGGGAAATGCAAATAAGGTTTGTTTTTACTGGGCCAGGCTCGAGCATGGAATGGATGGATGATTCAATCACCACCTGTCACTTTTCATGTTGTTTTTTCTCCTCCACAAGTGCTTGTCAATGGTGGACGACTTGTCCTGCTCATCGGCTTCCTTCTCTGGTCTTCCTCCCTCTGTCTCTTGTTGCATCCCACCCCAATCCTCTACACTTGACTGTGCAGTGGCCGAGCCAGGCATAGTGCTCCATCGACCTCAAGCTCTGCAGTCTAGGGGAGTTCATGGAGAGCAGATAGGATGGAGCCGGTTTTGGGTGAAGGCTCGCATGGTGGCGTTGGGGAGTGCCTTGCTGAGGCCGTCGAGCAGCCAGACACCCATGTTGATGAGGACCCTGCCACGGCATCGGTGAAGAAATCGTCTATCACCTCAAGGGCGGTGGCGTGCTTGTGGCATTGACGAGCATGGCAAGTGTGCACGCGACGTCCACGAGTGAGGCGAGATGCGTGCGAGGCTTCTTTCGATTTGTCATGTTCCATTCTCGTTTGTGCTCGCAAGGTGTTTCTACAAAAAGGCTAAGAAGTAGCAGGGAATAGAAGAGATAATATGGGTGGTTACTCCACCAAATATTAGTGCAAGGTAAGCATAAACACTTTTGTACAGCCTGCCAAGCACCAGATTCTCTCAAGCCCAGCTCCATAGATACATTAAACCAAACAAGGCCAGTTGCACCAACTCAACCTGCCTTATCTTGGCCTGGCCCTTTTCATCCGTACGGGCCACACTCGTCCAGTCTAGCAATCATGCCTTTAATGGGGCTGGGTCTTTGCAAAATAGTAGGTAATGGGCGATATAGATATAGTTGTTGGTTAGAATTGCTATTACCATTATGCTAACGCTTTTCAACCGTTAAAGCTACCGTATGATGTTCATGCTGTTAAAACACCATGGTTAGTGTAGCAGAAGTCTTCCGACAATACAGACATTATCAGTTTATAGTACATTGTTGTTTTTACTGATCTCTTGTGATTTGGTTTAGGACATTTCTAGACAAATCCTACTCAAATTATGGATTTTACTTGTAAATATTTTGTATTTAAGTATATCAGTCTAAACCCAGTTGTCTAATTTTGTCCAATGATTGTTTTAGTTCAAACTGACACTCTTTGTGCCAACCATATTCAGCTAAAGAATCAGCCGGTGGACGAAAACCAGAAGCCTGCTTAAATCCCAGTACCAGAGTGGGTGATTCCTTAAGAGAAGGATACCCATTATGATTGTATGAATGAGTTGCTGTATGTGGCGTTATCTTGTAGCTAGCCATCTGTAGTCTATAGAACATGTGGGAATTATGTTGTTGTAGCCTGTTAAACGAAATGATCGTTGACGCCTCCCCCTCTGTACCGCCGTCTTCTATAGGGTTTTGGTACACAAGAGTTGTACAACATAGATCTGTCTGCCAAGTTCAGGGAGCAGCGTGTCGCTACTGTTGTAACCGCTGCCAAACGATCATGTGATCCTGCGCCAAGTTTTGTTTCTTGGTAACTTCTGGATGAGGTTGGATGACTGAAGGGGGAAACCAATTCAAAGTATCTGGTATTACGCTTGCTACTTCATGACGTTATCTTACAAGGGATGTCATTTTCTAATACACTGCCGAGCGTTTATGTAAATCTGTAGATAGTTGTTTGGTTTGAGTGCTATGCATTTCATGACGAGGCATCTTGCATTGTCTACCTTCATTCCTCCCAGGAACAAAATACTGGGTCTAGAGCACAAAATAGTACTCTGATCTGAAATCGCAAAGCCGTTGATTCTCTTCATATATTGTGCGGCTAAGTGTAAAGTGTAGTGAGTTAAGTCACGCTGTAACTCTTATATGGTTTTAGTGAAAGCAGTTTTTCCTACAAAATACTACTTACTCCCGGTGCTCTGATGATCTGAAATTGCAAAGCTGTTGATTCAATACATTTCTTGCGCTAAGAAGTTATCTACACGCAGTTGACACGCCTGAGCGATCAATCCATCCCGCCAAAACATCTCCCACGCCCAGGCTGCTACACGCGTGGCACACACTGTAGCCATATTTTGATGTGCGGCCTGTATATATATGAGTATGAACGTATGAGCATCAGTGACAGACAAGGCGAAGTTACGGGCCATCAGGACTGTCGCGACCAAAACGATCACTGTCATCAGCTAGGCTGTACGCTGAAGAAGCCGCATCCCATGTGGGCTTCGCTTTTCCCCGTCCGGCCGTCCCGGAACTGACGGACCGGACGGACGGTGCACAGACACCGCAGTGATTCCGTTGCCGCCTCAGGTCAGTCACGAGCAGCAACTGCACTACAGTGTGTGTTCCGTCGCAGTATATATATAGCGAACTCCTGGCAGCGCGACAGGAGCAGTCAATGGCACGGCAGGCTGGCAGCAGCAGTAATTCCTGGGTGGTGCAACTGCAACTGCAATAGCAGCGGTGCATGCCAGTCACAGGGGAATGCCGGCAGGTATAGCTAGGAAGCGTGCACGTGTACGGCGGACGGACGGACGGAACGGTACGTCTCGCTCGCGCCGACCAGCGACCATGCATGCGGTGCGAGCACCGAACCCGACTCCTGGTCCCGGGGCACGAGCGTACACAGCAGAGCACGGCACCGCAGGTGGTGGTTTCAACGACATCACTCGGGGTGGCCGTACGCGTCCGTGCCGGGTGCGCCGCCTTGTGTGGTCCGTCACCGTCAGGGCGCATCTATCCGGCCCACGCGCCACGCCCATCCATCCCGCTGGCCGCGTTGTACGTTCCTCCGATCCTTCGCTACGGCTTGGCCCTGATGACGCTTGCTGCGTACCTGATCGGCTTGTTTTCTGTCGACTGGATGTCCCGTGTCTGGTGTCTGGGCGCATTGCTGCTGCCAAAAGCACAAGTTGCATGAATCATTCTCCGGGGCCGGGGGCAAAGGATCAGGTCATCATGTCTATCTGCCGTTCCAGCTAGGCGCAAATGCCATGGTAGCAGCTGGTGGAGCATACGTACGTGACGTCGTCGCATCGGCCTGGTTCGGTAGGCCCTGGGTCGCCCCCCATTGACCTTGGACCCGGCTAGTCCCGTCGTCGTCGCATAAGAATGGCCGCTGGCCCGGCCGGCCGTCGCGGCGTCCAGGTCCATCATCCGCTTCCCACCCGATTCGCCGAGGCGGACAAGTGGAGACAAAGCGAGCGGCGATCGAACCGAGCCCGCGGTGCCCACCTCGCGCTCAACGTACGGGGCGGCGCGGCACGGCGAGCACCACCACCATCACCCCCTGGCCCTGCCGTATAGAATATTCACCCCACGACTTCCGCGCACGGCCAGGGACGGTCGCGCGGGCGGAGACGTCACGATCCACTCATCATCTCGTGGACTCCTCTTAACGGACGGACGGCCGCGATCGCCCGGGACCGGGACGGCCTCGGCCCCTCCATGTGCCGCGGCAGGAACCCCCATGCGTGCGGGCGCTGCGGAGCCGACGGTGGTGCTGGTGTTGGTGTACCGCTGCTGCTTTGTTTCACGCAGCGCGGGGCCCGCCGCATGACTTCCGTGGTCCCCACACGGTTTCTTCCCTCCCCTCCCCCGAAAGCCGCTTTCTCATGGGCTTTGGCCTGGCGTTTTTTCGCTTTTCCAACCAAACCGCGAGACGAGTGATCGGCCGCCTACGAGCTAGCTTTCCCGTGGCTTCCGCCGCCGTGTTTAGTTTCATTTAGAATTTGAGGCTACTGTAGCACTTTCGTTTTTATGCGACAATTAGTGTTTAAACATGGACTAATTAGGCTCAAAACGTTCGTCTCGTAATTTCTCACTAAACTGTGCAATTAGTTTTTTTTCGTCTACGTTTAATGTTTCATACACAGACCGCAAACATTCGATGTGATAGCTACTGTAGCACTTTTTAGGATTTTAGGTTGGAACTAAACATGGGCGTTGGCTCCACAAAGGACTGCAGGTGCAGACGCCCAGACAGAGCCACTGGTCTCTGCCTCTGCATTGCACACACATGGCAGGGGCGCAGAGCACGTGACGTGCCGTGGCTTTGCCTTGTCGGCCAAGGAAAACAGGTAGGTGCACCGGCTCCCGCTCTCATTCCAAGTCTGAACGCTGTGACATTATAGTAGGTTCAAAATTTCCGGTTGCCAGCGGGCAGCCGGACCTGCAAAGTTCTGTGCCGGGGCATATCGAATTGGTGCCCTTTTTACTTCAGACGCTCGATCAGTGTTGTTTGGGAATCGAACAAAAGGATCGCATAGCACCGCACCTGATACTCCGATCAATCAATCAACCAACAAAGTTAAGCAAGGTCCCGTATCGGAGAACACATGATCTGCAGTTGGGGGATTAAAGAAAATCGTGGGTTACATTAGATTTTAAAAAATATAGCCTTTGCGTGCATCCCTTTTCGGGAAGGATCCGAGACGATTATTGCTAATCATAACCTTCTGTACAATCAGATTTTATAAACGAAAGTGAGTTTAAAACTTTAGATTCATATTACTACCCTGGTGGTTACCGATCGAGAAAGGTAAGTTCTGACTTCTCACCGTAGGCGATCCTCGTAATCATCAGGTAGCCTTGCCGGTTGCTATCTGTCTGCCTACGCAAGAAATATTTATTAGGTTTGTTGCCTCCCTCGGTTTTCGATTTCCAAGGTTCTCCTTTTTCTTCGAAGTGAGCCAAAACTGCTCTCGAAAGGCTGTCAAGTCTTAGTATTGCCGAGTGAGATGAGACTGGCTGTACAGTCAAAACAACCAAACGTGCCCAACATGCTAGGCCTAACAACAATCCGGCAGAGAAAGCCACTGCTTATCTCCTAGTGAACTTGGTTGTCCCTGCAATTTACACGTTGAACCAGACTGACAGTCACAAAGTGACAGATAGCATGTAACGCTCTATTATTAGCATAGCTAGCAGTCCCACATGTTTTGGGTCATCAGATCGACCCAAAACTTGTTAAATTAAACCAGAATAGCAAATGCTATGTAAGTGTAATTCCTTTTTTAATCATGTTTCTTTTCCAACTCAAGTGAGCCAAAACTACTCTTCCGAGCTAGCAAGTCTAGCCATGCGAACGAGATGAGACTAGCTAGATGAGCAAAACAACCAAATATGCCTAACACGCTAGATCCGATGGCCTCCTGGCAGAGAAAGCCACCGATTCCACCTACTAGTCAACTTAGTCATTCCTGTGATTCACGTGTTGAACAAGATTGGCAATCGCGAGGTGACAAATAGCATGTAACACTCTATTGCTAGCATAGCAAGCACTACCACATGTTTTGGGTCATCAGATCGACCCAAAACTTGTTAAAATAAACCATGATAGCAAATGCCACGTAAGAGTAATTCATTTTTCAATGACTTTTTCTTTCCAACTCAAGTGAGCCAAAACTACTCTTCCAAGCTGGCAAGTCTAACCATGCTGAGCGAG